AACTACTGATTCAATAGTTCACTGGTCGGACTGGTGGTCGAACCGGTCGAACCGTTTTAACTAATATATAATTTATTTATTTATTTTATATGTATAATATATAATTATATATATATTTATCATTAATTTTATAGCATATAATGATATTTTTCTAAATAAGAATTGATAAATCAATATTTCAAGTATAGTTTACCATAAACAATACTAAATAAAGTTCACTAAAACAATAGATTAATAATTCAAGGCAATCTTATTTACAAATACAAATTATAAAGTCATCAAACATCAAAATATATCCAATCCAACATTACAATTCATCAAACTACAAAATACTATCTCACTTTTTTTTTTTTCATCAAGATTTTTTTTTTAAATTTCAAAACCGGTCGGTTCGACCAGTTCGATACTGGTTCTTGCTCCCAGCGGCCCAAACATGCAAACCGGACCGGTACTAGGTCCGGTTCCCGGTCCAACCGGTCGAAACGGCCGGCCCGATCCGGTTTTGATAACATTGATTTTAAATGAAAAAAAACATTTGTATCTGTGTAGACATCTACCACTAGAGAATTACTTACCAACATGACATTCTATTCCTTCCACGTAGACAGAAGACCGTCTATTCAATTGCCAATCCACGCCAACCATTGGAGATGCTCTTATATATTTCGAAATGATAGATTTAGAAACATCAGTATATATTTCCAAATGATTTATATATATATATATATATATATATATATATACTAGTGTTTAGTAAAGATTTGGTGGGCAAAGGATAACCGAGTTACCCGACTCGGGTCGATCTCGAGGGAAAGCTATTCGGAGCTTAATCTACTAGTTGATTGTCCAAATCACAAAAATAGAAAATGAAATCCTAAACATTCTAAACAATTGATTTGAGGTCGATTAACACTAAACGAGCAAGCAATGAACTACGAGCAATATCAAATCACGAGCAAGGAGCAAACTAGATGATCACTGGAGTCTCATGCCATAACCATAACGGGATGATAATCAATCGACATAAGGTATAAACGAGCTATGAGAATTAGATTGCTAACCCTAGTTGTCTAACCCTAAGTGATTAAGCCCTAATCGAGTCTTAATCCTTAAACGAGATCAACAAGCAATTAACTCCTCTATCTACTCAAGCAAGCAATCAAGCACAAACATTTCCTCCATCATCAATCAAATCCAAATTTACTATAATGAACATTATAAGTAAAAACGGAGCAAAAACTGAAGTAAAGAGCTTTAAAAAAAAAAATACTCATCCTTCCATTGCGTAGACGATGAAAAACGGAGTCCAAAGCTCGAAACTTGAAAGAAACCAAAGTCGCCGGAAAATCTCCCGAAAAATAGCATAAGCTCCTAATCTAGAGAGCAAAATAGAACATAAACTAAGTTCCCAAAAGGGAAAAATGAAATAATGAGTAGTGGAAGTTCAAAATGCAAAGGCTAAAAAATATTTATACTCCAGCTCAAACACACACTAGAAAAACGCACATTAAGTAAAACACTCTCGATCACGCCATAACTGT